CACGTAGGCATTAACTTGAGTGAGTGCCTCTCAGTATTTTAATTATCTGAGGTTTTGATCCAACTGAAGTATTGTGGGTTTATAAAATAGCTGCCGCATATGCACAGTGGCCGCTTAATGATGTGCTCGGATGAAAGGCTGTATTGATGAGTCTCCGAGGAGAAATCTGCTCTTCAGGCTCGCGGGCTTGCTGAGACCTGAAGGGAAGGATGTGGAACTAAAGGCTTCCTATGGATGACAGCTCCATGTCCAGCTCTTTTAATGTAGCATGGGATAAAAGGTTCCCCAGAAGCTGTGACTCGTGGTGCCCCCCTCCCTAAAAAACTTCCGGTGTTTCGAGACAGGGAGGATGTATGTTTGTGCATGCTACATTTTCTCACAGTACAACTATAGCTTTTTTGTTTGCTAATTACCCAATCTGGTTTGGATTTCAACCACAACGTGGCTGCTTTGGAGCCATGGTCTGTGTGTCCCAGACTTGCTGGGAAATCAGGCTGAAGGTGACGTAGGTTCGACATGGGGCTTTACTGGCTGAGCAAGCAGACACCCTTACAGGTCCCATGCCATCTTAATAAATTCTTAATTTCTAATACCAACATTAAAAAAAAAAGTAAAATGAAGTCTAATAAGCACCTCCCTGCTAGGAATTGCCATATCTCGGAGCTGCGGGAACCCATCCGTCTTTAACATTCCTCAAGTGGCTTTGGGAGAGAAGAATTAACTGAAATGTCTCTGCTTTTTCTTGGTGGGGGTGGATTTCCTCTTCTGCAGTTTTGTGATCAGATCTTTGTCTTGATTTATGAAGACAATTTGCCATTACCCACATCCTACGATAGCCTTTGCTAGAGTCCTCGTGCTCTGTTTAGACTGAAAACCAAACAGTTCTGAAAATATTAAACAAGGAAGGTCTGTGATGCATAGAAGAAAGAGCTAATTGACGTTTTTTTTAAGAGTATGTAAAGTGTCTTCGGTCCTGCTTTTATATTGACGTTCACTTTTAATTATTCTTTCTTTTTGTTCCTGAAGGGTAGTTGCAGGTTAAATGTTACATCTTAATCTGATCTTTGACTGGCTTTTACTTTCAGTTGCTTGCAGATCTGTCAGACCTGCAGTTCTCACCTGCCTCCTCCCCTTCTGTCCAGGAATGTGAGTCTTGCCTTGTTGGGAAATGCAGTGAACTTAATGTCTTTGACTCTTAATGGTTCTTCATTCCTGGCCTAGCGCGGTTCTACTTGAGTCAAGAGTCTCTGCGGCTGCTAAAACTAAGCCCTAAGATCCCTTAAGTGTGGCAATATCCTTAGTTTAGGAATACTGAAGGGGCTTGGCCATCATGTAGCCCCTTTGCTTGTGTTTTGGCAGCACTGAATTTTCCTGGAACATCCCTATGGATGTGTTACTTACTAAGAACATGATATCTTGAAGTCCAGCTATCCTTTTCCTTGGATGTTAAGAAGAATTGTCTAATCTGAAATTTCTTTGCTTCAAGTGTTTCATTCCTTGCCTTTCTCCAGAGGAGAATGGCTGGTAGCCCACACCTCTGTAGGGTGCTCTTGAAGTCAGTATTGGGTCTTGCTGGTGCAGTTCTGTCTTTGAATTTAAGATGCAACTGAAAGAAGGTAAATGAGGCAAAGTAAGCCCTGAAGCAGATGGTTTGCTTGCCTCAGCATTTTTTGTAAAAAAATGAAGTCTCCCTGACCAGCAGAATTTGCCTATTGTGCATTGGAAGTTTGAGACTATTCCAGCAAATGGTTATGGAATAAATGGAACTTACCACATGAGACAGGTTCTTGACCTGTTTATTTTTAACCTAAAAGGAGGCCAAGCCAACAGGCAAAACCTTTTGAGCGTTGATGGGGTCAGAGAATAAGGACTTTGAACCTTTGTAAGGTGATGCTCGTGTCTGCTCGCTCAGGTTTTCCAAGAACTCTCATGGCTTAGTAAAGGAGTAGGCAGCCCAGCTCTTCAGCTGCGAATTGTGTGGATCCTGTGGATCATGTGGAGAAACGCAGTAGTGTTGGGTCGCACTTGGCAACTGTGACTGGCCAAGCACCCTTTTTTCCAGTTGTCTGCTGGTAATTTCAGAGAAGAGAAGGGCTTGCAGGGCAAGATGTTGGCAGGATGAGGAAATCCATTTTCAGCCATTGCGTCTTGCCACGTGTTGAGACATCTGTGCCCGGAAGCCTTTTTTCAGGCTGTCAGTGTTTTCCTGTCCCCTTCTCCTCTGCTTTTTCCTGTTTTTCCTGTTGAAGGCTCCCTGGAAAAGCAACAGTCTCCATGTGAAAGCTGTGCTGTTCATCTGTGGGTATTTTTTCTTTGTAACATCTGTGAGTTTGTGCCGTGTCCGATACCGCAGGATGCCATTAGGCGCGCGGGTGACGGTTGCGCTTTGTGGCCTTGCTGCCTCGACATGGCACCGCGATGGAGGCGGCCATTTTACCGGCAAGGCCGTCGCGGGCCTGCCATGTGGCGCTGCAGAACTAGTTGGGGGTGATGTTATTTTGAGGGGAACAGTCCATTTAACCATTTGAACACACTGGTATTGTGGCGGGTTTCTGTTTTAACGTGCGAGAAGCCAAGGAGAGGAGTAGAGGGGCTCTTCCCGCGAGGTTTCTAAGCGAGGAGCAGGAGGTGAAGGGTAAAGGAAGATCACGCTGGGGCCTGAGTAACCTGGACACTTGAAGGGGGAAAAATCAATTCCCTTTAACCAGCTATTTGAAATGGAAACTTGCAGAAGGCTCAGAGCAAGTGTTGGGAAACATCATGGTATTTTCAAATGCGTTATTTCTCTTCCAAAAGCAACTGTACATCCCACAGATATGTGTTAAACTGAGGTTTAAGTTTTGTGGCTTAAGTGTGGGGTTTCCACCACCACCATATTTCTCTTCATAGCCGCCCTGTTCAAAGGAAGAACTGTTATTCCAGATGTGAGATCCGTTATTCCAGCTGTGTAGGTGAGAAAGGAAGGGATAGAGGAACTGCCTTGCTCCAGGGTGATGTTCAAGGAGGCCTTGTGGAGGGAACCCCTTGGTTACGGGAATCTCGCGGTGCCTGACGTTTTCCCGCCCTTCTTGGTGCGAATTGAGGGGTTTTTTGCTTTTCACAAGGATGTTGTGGGAAGAGGATGATGGACTTGCAGACTTGGCTCCAAAAGAAAAAAAAATCATCCAGCCAATTCTACTGGGACACATAAAATAAAAACTCATTTTATATTTTTTGTCTAAGTTTATAGGAGAGAAGTCAGAGAGAAAATACGAAGTATTGCAGGCTGAAGAGATAATGCAGGCATTCACGTCATTCAGGCAGAACTGCTGAAAAGGGTTTTCTTTAACAATTGAAAGACATGAGGTCTTTCAGATATGACAGAATTAACAAACTACTGGGTTTTTCCTGGTTGAAATGAGATCAGCTGCTCTTGGGCCAGCGTAGGAATGTCCACGTGAAGAGATTACATTGATTTTAATCAAGCCAATTTAGCAGTGGGTTTCAGTGAGCTACTATAGCTTATTTATGCAGGCTTGATTTAGAACAGCATTCACAAAGAATACAAAGAATAAATACATAGAAATGCTAGGCGATGGTTCTGACTGATTTTTCTGGGCTCAACGTGGTAAAAATATGTTTTCTTCCTGAGCTGCGTTTTGGTAGCACTGTCTGAGGTTTCGCAGCCAAGCGAGGCCGGTGTCCCGTGTGCCACCCGGCACGCTCGGCAGGATAACACAGTGCCAAGGTGGAGACGTCGTGGGGCTGCTGTGGTGTCCTGCATTTGTGTCCTCCTCCTTGTGTTTTGCTGGAGAAGCCGGTAAAGCCTGTGGCCCTGCTGTTCTCTGTGCCATTTCTTCTTTAAATGGCTGGCAGTCCTCACTCAGCACAAAACACTTTATATTCAGGCTCTTCCCCCCAACATATAATATCCTCTCTTCTCCCTCTCCTCAGTGTGCAGGTATACTGAGGTTTTAGGGCAACCTGGTTTGCATTCCTCTAAATGACTTTTCAATACATGCATTATTTTTAAGAGTGCTGGTGAGGGCCCCAGGCAGTGCCCTGTGATGGGGAAGTCGCTTTGCACCTGGGTCCATCCTTCAGCAACAGGGCAGCGAGGTGCCAAGCACCCAAATTAATAGTTCCCAAAACGAGGTGCAGGCTCTCATCGTGGGAGTGACAGCGACGATTTCATTTTGCTCAAAAGCAGGAGCAGCAGTGGTTAATCGAGGTGGATGCAGATTGCTGCAAGCAAATGCAGTTGCTCGCAGGCTCTTCCAGGCAGGCAGAGCGCTGGTCATGTCAGCCTCGAGGAGCTGCTTATCTGTGTTTTATTGTGTCGTTGCTCTGGTAACAGCAAGACTTATACCTGTGCTAGAGGAAGCCTCGATTTTTCTTTTTACTTTTTCCTTTTTTTTTTTTTCTTTCCCTCTCTTTAGACTCCAATTAAAGGGAAATTTCTAATTTCCAGGGTTCTTTCTGCCACCATTTTCCGTGTTAACAGAAATTTGCACTTATGCTACAAGTTAACCTTTCTCTGGTCTGTAAAAGGATTAAAAAAAAAAAAGTTAGTGTCTATATTCTATAGATTTAGTGTTATATTCCAGGGGAAAAAAATCACAGGAAATTTAAGGCAAGAGGAAAACTTCATGTGCTGCAAATGCCACGCTGCTTTAACAGCCTCAGTTCTGCAGTTGTCTCCAAGGTCATTGCAGACTGTTAGGGAGGTTCTTTTTGCTGCTTCAGTTGAAATCCCTCTTTTTCCCCCAGTGTGTCTACTTGGGAAGACTCTAAAGGCTCCTCAGAGGACTTGCCCCTTTAATGGAATCAGAACTAGTTACGTTGCTTCTGTTTGTGGCTGGTGGTTAAAGACATGACAGATAAATTGTTATATTTTGGTGTTAATGGATGAGGTTTTAATAAACCAAGTTTTAGTTGTGCTGCTTATTTCGTATAAACTTTGAATCTAGGGTATCAAAAATTGAATGCTCAATTTAAGTATTCATTATTCTTTCTGTTTTCTTGCAGGGAAGCTACCCAGTGTGGGAAGATTTTATAAATAAAGCTGGGAAGTTGCAGTCTCAGCTTCGGTAAGTTGTGTTGCACAGTCAAGATCCCCTCCAAATCCATGTGTGTGCAAACAGTGTTAGGAAAACTAGATGCAGCTTCCACCAGGATAATTTGCTTAGCATGTCTTAGTAAAATTTTTCATATTTCATATATGCAACACCCCTATTTATAATTTCCATGTGGTACTGCTGCTGTTTTTGATGTATTTTAGAAAAATACAGAATCTATCATCATAATAAAAAGCAGAAATTGAGCTAACTGGCCTAGATCCTGGTGGAAAAAGATGGTTTATTGTTCGGAGAACACAGACATTTGGAGTTAGAAGACATATGTTGTCTTTTTATCAGCATTGAGTACAGCTGGTTTCTATTAAAAGAGGCCGCAAAACATTCAATAGAGTCTCCATTAGTCTTAGCAATGTTTTTTTCTGCCTTAAAAACTAAGGGAATTCCCATGCTGAATCATTCACTTGTGTTCATTAAAGCTCACTTTATTGGGATTTACTTTGCGAATGGCACTTTATATAACTTAGCACAGATTTTTGTTAATAAGCACCATATGTATCACATTGTGACCCATTCTGTTACCTCCAGAATTCACTTGTAACGTGCATTGCTACTGACACGAATCCAAACTCCATTTCTTCACTGCTCTCCCCAAACCACAATGTCCACTAGGCTCCCTTGAGCATGAGCATTTTTCTCAGCAGCAGTGGTGGTTATAGGTATGGTTATTGGCAGGATGTTTTGTGGTTCTGCATTGTGTGAGCTGTTTCCAAAACTGAAGTTTGGGCTCATTTGCCCTGAACAGCTGGAAGGTGCTGTTCTTCTATGCTGTGTTTAAAATAGAACACTTGGAGGTGGGTTGTGCTCTTCCAGCAATCCCATCCCATTGAGTGAGTGTGCAGAGGGAGAAGCAGAACTTCCTTAGTCCTTTAGACTAAAATAGTTTTATTTTCTAGTCCTGTGGTGTTGCATTCAGTGTAGTGCTTTTTGTAGCTATAGGATTGTGTGAGCAGGCAGCTCGAAAGCCTCGGCTCAAGGATTTGCCCTTTCCTTGCAGCCCATGTGAGTTCTTTCCTGCTGGCTGCTTTCTGTGTGTCCTGACAAAAGAGAGCAGATGTCACCTGAGCTGCAACCTGCCCTTCCTGTATCTTGTTACTGGAGAAATGGAACTTTGTTATTAGCAGTATAATTAATTATTAACAGCATAGTACATGAATAACAGCATGACCCACAGGTTTGGAAGATTAAGTACACAAATACTGTTAAGGAAAATCCTGGAAAAAGATAGCTGGCTCTGGGGCTAAATATTGGTAGTTATCTGGATTAGATTTTTTTTTTTTTTTTTGCCTGGGAAATTAGGGGCCCTTTATGCATCCTCTCCAGCACATCCCCTCAAGCCTGTTTTTTGCATTCAAATCTTGTGGTCAGTAGGCCATTTTTTATGCTGCCAGTTATGTCCCCTGTGTTTTAGCACATTTGGAGTGAGATTCTGGTAAAATCTGACCTAATGATGCAGCTCTGTGGTCCTTCCTGGCCCGGGGATCAGCCTTCCTGCAGGTCTCCTGGGTTCTTTGAGGATGCCAAGGAACTGTTGAAGCAAAAGACAACAGTCCTTCTCCTTCAGGATTTTGCTTAGAAGGACTGTTATAGTGAGAGGGGAAAAAAACAAAATTACTGTTACAGAAGATGTGTGGAAAGAGAACCACGAGCGAACCGAGGCGAGGACGCAGAGTGCTTCATGTGTAAAGCCCTGGCCTGGTTTCATTTAAATGGGGCCAACCAGGCTGCCAACCATCACAAGTCTGGTACTGAGCTGAGGTGCTCAGGGGCTCTAAGCTCTATTTGGAGCAGCTGCGTTGGAAAACTGGAGCTCACGTTGGCTCTCTGCTTCAATAGACGTGTGATCTCCAAGTTTTTTCACATCCAGAGGGAGAGGGAGGTTAGCAGTTTGGATGGGAGAGTCCTTGGGCTTCCTGGTGGGCTTGTCGGGAGAAATCAGGAAGCTGCTGTTGAAGTGGGGAAGCTTTTGCCCTAGTTGTCACTATTCCCTAGTTCACCCTATTGCAAGGCATGCTGTTATTCCTCAAATGAGAAATTCAGGAAAACATTTGATCAGGAATTTCAATAAAGGGAGGGGCTTGCATGTTGTTCCTTAAAATAAAAGTGTTCCTCAGAAACAGCAGTGGCTGTAAATTCATCCTTTAATGGGTGCAGTGTAATGTGTGTTAGTTTTTTTTGCCATGTTTGACTACTTAATACTAGTTCACAGACCAGAAGGGGAAGGGCTGTGCTCTTTTGAAACAGCACCTGTCCTGGGCAATTCAGTGCCGAATTAGCAGGGAAGCCCTCAAGTCCCCAGCCCGAACACAAAGCAGGGGAGAGATTAAGACATGAGGGAGGGAGAAGGCGAAAATCAGCCATGAAAGAGGCCATTTTCTGTGACCCCTGCAAGTTCACACTGGTATTCTTTATAAGCTTAAATGTTTTTGGCAATAATGAAATCAGCAGCAATGAGACACTGCTAATGTTTTGTTATCTGTATGCATTTCAGGACTACAGTAGTAGCAGCTGCTGCCTTTTTGGATGCCTTTCAGAAAGTGGCTGACATGGCTACTAATACACGTGGTAAGCAGATGTGTCAATATTGAGTTTAACAGAATGCTGTGTGGCTCATACCATTTGTCGTAATAAAGAAAAAAAATAAAGAAGCCTAACTTGTTACATTGACAAGCAGATCTGTGAGACATCTGTTAGATGGACTTGCACTTTGAAAAAGCAGCACGTGAAAAAGGAAATTGTCTTTTCTTTACCAAAGATGCTGGAAACCTGTAATTTAAATGTGTCATCGATCATGTGAGCAGTTCTTAATTACCATCTGAATTATATGTTGATGAATAATATTTTAGAAAGCAGGATTTACTGAAATCTGTATTCACTGACACTTTTGTACCTTAAGTAAATGTAAAAGCTGTAAGACTTGATGTTCAGCTGGCATAAATTAGCATAGGGCTGCTGGAGCTAGAACTGATACCAGCCTGTGGGGTCTATGGATGATAACTGCAGTGCCCTGTAATTTCATTTCGGAGGAAATGCAGCAGTGGGACCTTCCTCACGGTCCCTGCGTCCCACGGGCTCTGCTGCTGGAGAGCGTTTCCCGAGGGAATGTGTCAGTGCGGAGCAGCGAGTTGCCTCTAACCTCAGGAGCTCTGTGTTCTGATTTGTTTGGTCCTAGCACATGGCTGGCATTTGACTTGATGGGATAAAAGCAACCTGGCTGATGCACAGTGTGCGTGTTCCTTATCCGTGTGCGAGTTCGCCCAGGCCTCTGTTCCCCACTGTTGCTGGCTAAGAGGGACTTAAGCAGCTGCTGTAGCAGGTCTTAAACCATAGCATGAGCACCAGGAACCATGTGGGCCTGTTTTATTCCTTTCTAAAGCTAATATTTACATTCTGGTAAGGAGTTCCTTTGTTTTATATGTACCCTCTGTAAATGATGCAGCATCTACTCATGTAAAATAATAAACACTGCAGAAAGTGGAATAAACTCGGGATGAGACCCAAGCCAGGGCTTCAGCTGGGTTTCTGACATGTCTTCCCAGTGAGTACTTGCTTCTCCTTCCTCTCCCTGTTTGCAAAGGGAAAACAAAACAAAATTGCAATCAAAACCTATGAGCCTCGTGTTGGCTGTGCTGGCAAGGCTATAGGACTGCATTCAGCCACCAGGATGATGGCAGTTCCCCTCCTTTCCGAGAAAAATGGCTCTTTTGGGTTTTTGAAGGGTATTTTGCTCTTTCTGCTGCGTTGTTTGGAAGGGGTCCAGCGTGCGTCGTGTCTCTTTTCTTTTTTATCTCTTAGAGCCCATCCCTTACAAAAGGAGCTCTGTAAATCGTGGCTGGCCAAATGTGTATAGCTCCTCTGTTCTGTGTTCCTGCCTCCCGTGACAAGAGGATAGAAGGAAATTTTGTTTTTATTTTTAGAAGCTGATGTTCTGGGCAGAGAATCTAAATGCCAAGTTCCTGGTGGTTCTGATGTGCCTCCCAAACCGACTTCCGCTCCTGCCCCTTCAGTGCTGGCTTAGAGGTGGTCTGTTGTCTTGGAGTCTTGGGGTTTTGCCCATGGGGCCTTCAACAAATACAAATCCTTCTAGCTTACGCTGGGCTGGGATTTTATGTCTTGAAGTTGGTGACAAAACGGGCAAGACTCATTTTTAAAATATGTATTTTGTTGTTAGTATAAACAATCATCTCCAGAAAGTAAAGCAAACCCAAACAAACCTGGTGTTTTTCCTTCTCTGATGTGGGGATTTTAATGGGCTCTTAATTTTCTCTTTGAAGAGTTATCTAATTTGGAACAATTTTGCACTAAGTTCAGCCTGTTACTTTATAGAAGATTTTTGCTGTCTAATCAAACACCTGGGTCAGCTTCAGACTCTTCTGGGGGTGCTCAGTTAACATGTTAACCCAGCTCAGCAAAGTTAATTTACAACTTGTAAGCTCTTGTGCATGGGTACATCCTCCTCTTAAATACACATCCAAATGTTAAAGATAAACTGCAGGAGTAGGAGATGGGCAGCGTTGCACAACTCTTGCCCATGGCAAAGGCAAAGAGGGCTGGTGCATTTTGAATCATTGCTACAGGTTGTTATTGCATGAGTCCAGTGCTGTTTTGGAAAGCTTGATAAGATGATGTTGAAACCCATTCCTGTTTCGGTGTTGGTGCCCTGCAGGGTGATGGAAATGTTGTAAAGCTGGGTGCTGTATTTTATTTGCAGTAGCTCGTAGCTGTGCTGAAAGTGGACGTGTTACTAGAAGAGCCAGCGATGGGGCTGATGAAAGCGTTTGGTCAGTCAGCAGAAGCTCCCTGGCTCTCTAATCTGTGCCCATCAGCATTAGCTTTCAGAGAAGAAAGTGGCTGCGTGAACGTACATGTCTGCACGCAGGCAAGGAGGGAGCAATACCTGGACACACGCCAAATGCCCAAGGATTTTCATCAGCTCCAGCCCTGGTGCCACTGACACCTTGGCCCTGTGTGCCCCTACTCCTCTTTTCCCTCTTGATGCATTTTTCATTCCACATAGTTTTCTTCCTTACTGCTAATTCTGTAGCAGTAATAATATTATTTTACACTGGCATTCCCATCTGGAGCTAAAGCACAGGCAGTAGTGGGAGCTCTGCCTGTGGTAATGCCAGGTAGCCTGGACTTCGCCCCGTTTTCCTGCCATCGTGACTCGTGAGCTCAGGAAGGTTCCCAATGTGAAGCAGGCAGCGTATTCTTATTGCAACAGCAGAGAGAAATTTCCTGACCAGTTCTGATCAGAACTTAATATCTATCCTTAGCTTTCTATCTTCTGTATCTTAAGTGTCTTAACCTAGAATTCAGGCTCTTTTTTCCCTGGGTATTAATCAGTTTTTGATGTCAGCCTGACACAGAGAAGTATAAGGAAAGTAGCCTTGGGGAGTCTAATGTGAAAGGTTTTACTTCTGTGGGTCTGACTGTGTAAAAAGGGATGATCTGGTTGGGGCACTCTGTTTTTGCTCAAGTTGCAGTGCTGAAGATCGCTATTTCTTTGCAATGCATGAAAGATATTAATGTTTACAGAAACTAAGCCCTGGATTTTCTGCTGTGCTCAAAATCCGTTTAACAGGTTCTCTATTAATGCAAGTTATGTAGCAGCATGTGCTGTTCTTTTTGAAACATGAAATTACTTCGAACATGTTTTTACTTTGGAGTTCTCACACCCTGTGCATGTCTGCCCAGCAGTTTGTTTTCTTCAGATGTTGTTTGATGCACAGTGTGGCAGAACTCATTGGTTTGTAGTGGAATCTGGTATTACTTCAGGCCCTTTCTTAAGCTGGAAATACTTTTAAAACTTTGGTTTAATTGATTAATTTGGATAAAATTAAGCATAGGTGCTTCAGTCTACCTATGAACTTGAACAAAGTTTTGCTTTTGAGAAGGTTTTTGCCTGTGGATTGTTGTTGTTGTTGTTATTATTCGTCATGTGACTTAAGGCTTTCAGTATGTGAGATCTTGAATGTTTTTATTTGCATCAATTCTGACTGAGGCAGGGAAGACAAATTTACATCTAGCTTCATTTAATAACTGCTTGATATTTGCACGTTAAAAGCTGGTTCTATTGGAAAAGCAACACCAACTGTGTGGCCCAAATGTTGCTTACAGGTGTATTGTGAGTGGGTTTTTGGGCAATAGGTTAAAGAAGATATGTAAACTGTAAATGCTTTGCTTTATGTGGACTGGTATTTTTCTGCCTTTGCTCGGTTGCTCTGCTTTTGGATGGCCTTTGTAAGTAAGCACTGGATTTTAGGGACCTGAGAAAGCAGGTGAGGAGTAACCGTTCTGCTTGTGTTATGTGGGATATTAAAGCGAAGGCGTACGCGCTTCTTTATTTAAAACCCTGCCAGCCACTTCCATAAAATAGGCAATTTTGCCTACATGCATTTTCACAGGTGTAAATTAAAACTTATGGAAGGATTATATAGCAGCTTTGATTTACCCTGAAGCTTAAAATTGATCTTCAAAGTGCGATTGTTAATGAGGCATCTGATACCCACTGTTGTGGGTTTTTGAGTTTTCATTCATATCGAAGTGTTTTACATATACATAGGCGTGTTTGATATTAGCAGACTAATTAAATCGTTTTTAAGAGCTCCGTCGCGCTGAGCTTTCCGTGGTCAGCCGCCTGGCGAGGATGCTGTTTGAAGCTGCCTCCTTCAGCTTGGCCAGCCCCGCTGGAGCTGAGTTTTTCCCACTGTTGGTGGCTTGGACGTGTGTCTTGCCGGTCGGCGCTATTTTTGCTTTCCATCTCTCTCGCTTCCCAGGTGCCAGAAAGGCCTTGGAGTCAATGCTGAGCTTGACGGTGCTGCAGAGAGGAGCCGGAGGAGATGGCAGCAGGCGGGGGACAGGGTTTGGGGACAGCAGGGGATGGCCGTGGACGGGCAGTGAGCTGCACGGTGCCACTGCACAGAGCTGGCGCAGGAGCCAGCCCCAACCAAACCAGCGTAGCTGTTTCATGGTGCCCTCGCAAGGGACGGGGTGTCTCAGTCCCGTTAGATGTTACGAGCGCTCAGCAGTGTCAATGTAATTTAATGCTTTTAGTTAAATAATTAAACCTGATTACACCCAGATAAGTGTGCTCAGGCCTTCTGAGTGGGCCCTGCTTGCTGAAAGCAGCCACAGGGACGAGTCTTGAACCTCTGGTGCCACAGCAAAAGAAAGGCATTTTCAGCTGTCTATAGCGGGGGATGGAAAAGATGGGTAATGTTTTGCAAAAATATTAATACCTGCTCGCAGCTGTGATAATGATCTCTGTAAATCCTGAGTGAAAACAAAGCTGACCGTAGAGGAGAGGGTTTCTTGTTGTTAAACCCTTGACTTCTGATGTTCTCACTCAAATAATGAGACCTTTGTTAGAGCTTCCTTTCAGTTAGGACAAGACTTTGTAATTAGCACTTACTTACTTCTCCCATGAAGTCTTCGAAAAACAAAACTTTTTCTTGCAGATTTCAAAATATAAGGTAATAGGCAGAAAAATATTCCAGCAAACCATTTGGGCTTCCATGCAGATGATGCAAAGTACAGAATTAATTCGGAACT